AGTAATTTTTTCAAGATTAATTACTTGACAGCCATAATCATGCTGTGATCTCTGTGTCTGTCACAATATTTTGGTTGCCTCCTAGCTTGGGATGAGTGACAATAGCACCAGTGATGTTAGAAACTAGAATGATGTCTCTAAAATGCATATATTTGGGTTATGTGAAATTGGTTTATATGCTTTATACGTAAATAGAAAAAAATGCTCTGGAGAAACAATTTTAATGACAGGTAATCCTATAGGGTTCCTCATTCTGTCTTGAATGTTTTACTTCCCTGTTACATCCCTCCCCAAAATGTCCATTGGTTCCAACATGATCTTAACAGCTGGTCATTTCCTCTATTTTGAAGTCTCCAGATGTTAGTCATTGTGCGTAGAATGGGAGAATTGGCATGAGCATGTTTTTGTCTCAGGTGCAGGTGTGGAAATAGCTGGTGTCACATACTACTGCGTGCAACCCGGTTTGCTGACATAGCTATTAAAGCTGGGCCTGAATTACAAGGGGCAAAGAAGCTGCCAGGCATAATATAAGGGGCTTAAACGTGTGACTTTGTAGCTTTCCTGCTGTGTGTACACATACACTAGATATATACTGGTTCTGAAATGAAGTTTCTAGCTGTCCAGATGCTTTTTACCTATGTGCCGTGATTTATGGAACATGAAGCCAGGCTCAAATTGTTTTCTTGCTAATTATAGTAGTCCCCAGCCAACCTGCTGTCAGAATTTTTTTTTTTAATCTCATGGTATACGCTAACCTTTGCCATTATGGTTTTCTGATACTTACAGCTGCACAGAAACATCTCTATGCTTCGGTGTATTTGCCTGACACTTTAAAAATGCTGCCTTACTACCTGCGAGTGTGTATTATTAAAAAAGAATGAGGAAGTGTTGGAAAACAGTGTTTTGTTCAGTTAGGGATGTTCTCCTCAATACTTCAGGGACTTCTTGGCTGACTTCTGCATTAGAATAAGCTTTGGGCCAGACTTGATAGCTTGCTGAAGTGCAGTGTATACTTCCTGCTTCGAAAGAAAGAAATGCTCTTTGCTGTGACCCGATTTCGTATGATAAGAATTTTTATTAACGATATGAACAATGTCCTCAAGTCGTCTTTAATTCCCCAAAAGAATAGCAAATGCCCACTGGTGCACTCCCTACAAAATTAATTTTGTAGGGTTTAAATAAGTAGCAAAAAGAATAAAATCATTACAGTCGTGGTAAATCTGGGTCTACCTTTGAAGATTGGCTTTGGAAGCCAGTTTTTCTCATTTGATCAAAGCTTTAATCTCCACTAAGACCTGAGTAGATTTGCAGGAGTATTAATTCAAAAATTTCCTTCCCAAGGCTTTTTTATGAATGTAAAGGGTCACATGGAACAGAAGTAACTTAAGTTGCTTATTATATTTACTGTGTTAAGCTTACCAGCTATAGGTTATAATTCCTGAAAGGATCTTTTCCTGCTGTTATTTCTGTTATAAAGTCATATATGGGAGTAGTGCTGGTCCTGGTTTAAAATATGTAGAAAGTCTGCTTAAGTCTCCTGTTGGAAATTGTGATCGTGGCATGTGCCGGGGAGAGGGATTAATTGTAAGGTCCATTTCCTGTCTTGGAATAAGGTGTGAGGAATTTCAGCTGTGATTTCAAGCATTAATGTTTTGCCCTTCAGAGATGATTAGTTTTACCCTTACACAACCAAGTGAGGAATGTGGGTGTAGATTTCTTTTCATGACCATCTTATTGTAAGATAAAGCTTTTTCTCTGTAGTCGTCGTGATGAAAATGGAGCCACGGAAGTAGATTGTTTCATTACCATGGCTTGCTTACTGTGGGCAAGGTAAAGATGTCCTTCCACATTTAACTAAGTGGGGGGAATATCTATTTTTCAGTTCCTCGCAGTGCTAGGTGCGGTGTGATTCCAGACTTCTAGAAATGCAAGTGAGAACAGCACATGACCAGCGTGGACTCTGACTTACATGTGAGTGCCAAGAGCTGTGCAACACCAGTGAAAACATTCAATGTTAGGCCCTCATTCTGCAATGGAGGGTCTGTCGTTGCTGTTGTGTCACTCTGCCAGCATATGTAGCCAAAACACATGGGAGCTGTAGGCGATGGTGTGTTTTGCCTCGGAATTAAAACCTGTTCTCAGAGGGAGTTGTATCTTGGAATTCTGATTTATTTGAGCTTGCACATTGAAACAGTGGAGAAGATTTTTATTTAACTAAGCATCGCTACCTTGTGAAATATTCTTTTAAACCTGTCTTTCAGGAATTATATCCAGAAATGGGAGAGCTGAAAACAGGTTTATTCATTTGATGAATATTCAGCTACTTCAGTGATAATACTTGCCATAGACTTTGGAAATATGTGTGAAAACCATGCCTCAGGGTTAGTATAGGCTACACTTTTTCAAGGCCTGCTCAGTTAAATTCGGACTGATAGTACAGGAATGGTGAAAGCCATATCCCTCACGGCCAGCCTGCTTCTGCATGTCCAGTGCAATGAGCTTGGAGCGTGCGACAGCCTCTGCTGGAAAACTTTTCTAAAAAAAAGTGAGTGAAACCATTCAACTTCTTAAGTCATTTACCCTGCTTAGAAAATTCAACCCAAAAGCTAAGAACTGATGGAGTTAAAAGCATTTGAAAGTAGTAAATTATAGGATTAACCATTATTATCATATGAAATCGTTATGAACCTGAAAGAGGTGCTATGCTTGCCTTCCTCATCTTAAACTGGCAACTTAATTTTAAGTCTTCCCTTTCTGAGCTCAGCATTTGTACAGTCTGAGCTTTCTGGGTATATTTTCAATAATGTTTAGTTAATGCCATCCTGCAGCTTATAAATTGGGTGAGGCTTGCTTTTGAGATGTCTGTTACGTAAGATTTCGCTTACAGGCTGAGTGCAACCTGATTTGGCTTAGGGGTGTCTTCAGAGCGCACCTTTCACTGACTGCCCTGCATAAACAAATGCTTGTTGTAGCAGGCAAGAGATTCTTGTGGTAAACTCAGATCTCTACCAAGGTGAGGAAATCTGTCACTTGAATGCACTAAAGCTGTCAGAAGTGTTCATTAAAGGAATGTTTGGAAGGGCATTTTCAGCTTTTCGATGTACCTGAACTGCTCTTCTGTCCATCCACCATGAAAAAAAAAAATACTGTGATAGTCTGAATCTGAGGTGTTTGCAATTCTGAAGTGTGATATAGAACGTTCCCTCCATGAGGTGCGTACAATACTTGTAACAAATATTCCCTATATGAAGAACTATTTCTTAATTGTAATCTTAAGCATTCATGTTTGTTAAAATGCTTGGAATTTGGGAATGGAATATGCTGGGACTGATTCCCCATCCACCCATCTGTTCTCCCCACCATCCTCACCCACTCCCTAATTAAATATTGTTGAAACTTGTTGGCTTTGATCTCTGACCAAGATGTAATTGCAACCCTTGCAGCTGTCTAGTATCAGTGAGGCCTTACCTCCAGAGGACATGTTTTGAAAGCAGAATGACATTGTCTGTCCCCCGAACTGCAGATGAGGTTTTGCACAGCAATTAGTATCGACTAATAATATTAGAATATTCTTTTAGTTATTAGGGTTTCTGATGTTAGAGGCAAAAATTCCTTAAAGTCCTGAAGGCACGTATGAGGTGCCAAACAAATACATTGGTTACACTTCAGAACAGCGTATTTAGTTTTTGTGTAATACCAAATTAAGGTAGCAAACCTGTGAGGCTAAGTACAGTCATTAAATAATTTTATATACTATGAAGAAAGCTTCAGTTTTCGAGTCTGGTACCCAAAGTGAACGTTTTGTTGTTTCTAATTTTGGAAAGATGTTGTGTTGATGCAGTGTGTTTTATGGAACTTGTTACAGGTTGCAGAAGTACTTTCTAATTAATTTCTTAAATGACATATTAATTCCAGTTGAAGTCAGATATCCAGAAGGTAAAAAATTTAATAGAGACAATATCAGAGTTGTATACATGTAGAGGAAGGGAAATGTGAATGTCATAAGAGCAGTCCAAGTTTGGGGTGGCAGGAAGAATAAACTCAGTAAACCTAAGATAGAAATCAGCTCTGTGTCAGCAGAAAGCTGTGTTGGAGGCCAGGTTAAAATACTCGGAGACATGGTCCTTCTTGCAATCAGCACGTATGAACGCTTGTTCAGACCTCATCGCTCCTAACTGGAGCAGGGATGGGGTCTCCAAGTGTCAAGTCATGATTTTAATATCCAGAGTTTTGTCATTTAAATTCCAAGTATCAAAGAAATATTTTTGTGTAATTAGGATGTTTGAACACAGAGGTAGAAAGTTTAAAAAAAAAAAAAAGGTACTGAGCAATTTGCTTGTCTTGAGTTGATCAGTCATTTCCCACAATTTTGTCTTACATGAACACTTGGCCTAAGTGTTTTACAGAAGGCAGGGTATGTGGGTCTGAAGTAAGTCTCTACACCACTACAGCCTTATGTTCAAGTTTAATTCACCGCTTCATTTTGAAATAACTCCTTGTTGCAAAAACTTCTCTCTGCTGGCAAAGCTAGAATGTCTTCAGTTTTTTGTGTAGCTTCTGGGAGTGGATCTTGAACCGTAATGTGAATTCAGATTTCCGTGGAAAGTAAGACCAACACTTTTAAATAAATTGTTAAATAACTAATCACTTTTCACATTAAAGCAAGACAACGTCATTTCACATATTTACATTTAAGGGTTGAGCTAACCTGAAAAAGCATAAGCTTTTTAAGTGAAAAAGCTTACATCTTGTCATATGTCTGGAATTTTTTTACCAGCTTTAATGACTGTTTACATAAAGTATGTTGGACTTGAACAAAGATAAATATGCTTTGCAAGCACAAACATCTGCTTTTGTGAATGTGTGTCTAAAAAACACCGTCTGTCACAGTAGAGAAGGTTTCTAAAAAAAAAAAGGGGGGGGGGGGGGGACACAACAGCAAAAAGGAAGACAGGAAAACTTCAGACCTGCTGTTTGCAGGGGTGGATTGTGCAAAATAATGATTAAAAAGTAAAGATTTTATTTGTCTGGAACTCAAGCGCTGAGAAGTTGATACGCGATCACTTGAGCACTGTGGGATTCTCCTCCTCAGTCTATAGGTCTGATCATCATTTGAACTGCTTTCAAGGAGTACGAACCTCCCCGGTACTCAGCCCAAAAAATTCCATCCTGATACTTGCTCCTGTAGTGACCTCCTCTGTACCACACCCCGTTCAGGTTGGAGTGGGCACAGGCATTGTACCACCAGCCGCCTTTGTGAAAGTGAGCGCAGTTTCCTGTGGGACGGGAAGAAATAGGTGAGCCTCAACATTGAAGAGGAGAAAAGGAGATTACCTAACGCTTTCATGCTCTCACTTAGTCCTAGAGAAAGCTTTGAAGTACTTGATAACCTGTTGTGGTCCTGTCTTCCACCTAAATTACAAATTCTGTTGGAACAGGAGCTGTTGGGCGGTGATTAACATGTTATGTAATGTGACAGCTGAAAACTGAGGACATAACTCTTCGCAGACTACCAGCAGTGTTTGTCCGTGAGCTAACATTCAAGGAACTCGGATTATGTATTGTTTAGGAATTCTTCAGTGGAAGCAATGTGAGTCGATACAGTCCCAAGCAGCACATGGAGCCGCAGTTCCACAAAGACTTGCTTGTAACTTATGTATTTACTGTTACAAGCTTGTTTGAGTTTGCAAGATTTGTCCAGTTTTATCGTTATTGACAGCTGAGAAAAAGTGAGAGGAAAAACATCTCTTGCGCAGTCAAGTTTTGCGTTCCCCGGCCTTTTGGTTAGAGCTGAGGCTTTAAGGGGAGAGCTGTAGGAAGAGTGCAGAAATGGACAAAACCAGAAGCGTTAAGGAGAATGAAACCAAGTGATGTGCCTGTTTCTCAAGTGTTGGTTGGTACGTAAGTAAGCCTGTGCACCACTGAGGTTCCTTTCATGCTGCTCAGGGGCTTTGTGGTTCATGGTGATCATTGTTACCTGGCCACAGCAGGCTGAGAAATCGCCTGGTGAGGTTCTGACTGCAGTCATGTGTAATGGCAAGGATTTCTTTGAGCTCAGTGTAAAGGGTGCTCAAGTGTGCCTGCAGTGATTTGTTTGGTACGTAAGTAAGCCTGTGCACCACTGAGGTTCCTTTCATGCTGCTCAGGGGCTTTGTGGTTCATGGTGATCATTGTTACCTGGCCACAGCAGGCTGAGAAATCGCCTGGTGAGGTTCTGACTGCAGTCATGTGTAATGGCAAGGATTTCTTTGAGCTCAGTGTAAAGGGTGCTCAAGTGTGCCTGCAGTGAAGGTCATGGAATTTGCATTTCTGATCGGTGCAGGGGCCTGAAGGGAGCCTTGTCAATGTGATTGTCATCATTGTTAATTTGAAGCATCTTTCAATAGAGTTGTTTTACCAGAGTTTACATACTTATTGGCACTGTATTCTTTTTTTAAAGGTGATGTCACTAATGGTGTCTACCATACTCACTTCTCACATGCATGCTACTTTCCTTACCTGAATACATATCCCTGTCTCTGTCCAGTGTTGTAAACTGCTTTCCATTATGCCATATCATGGAATCGCCGGCGTTTCCTTGGTACGTTCCTAAGCGCAGCCTGTAGAATTCGCTTTCGGGCTCCAGGCGGAAACTGCTGTATTCTGCATAGACTTTCTTATTGCTCCAGTCTTCTAACTCAATCAATAGTCTGTAATTATCCTGGTTGGTGAGCATGAAAATATTTTCTAGTCCCAGCCAGTACTCTCCATCAATGTTTCCAAATCCTTTCTGTAGAAAAGAGGATCAGCAAGTGAAGCTAGCTTACTACTTATTTGTCAAATATTAATCAGCAACCCTGGGTACTGAAAGGCTTTAAGCTTCTGACTGAGTGCTCAACCCATTTCTTGACAAAGCTAAGGGGGTCTGTAAGAATGTATGAATAATGGAATTTAAAGGAATGTATTTCCAGGCTGGAAAAGGTATTTATGTTTTATAGTCTCAGTGTTCAAGGTAAATAACTTTGTTGCCTTTTAAATGCAACTAGTGTTGTTTTTTATGGGAAATGTAATCACATAATTCATCTGTGCTCTTTACTGTGTTTATTAGAAATGAAATACACAGACATCTTTACTTTCAAATCACACACTACCAGTATGGTAGCTGTGAAGTGTTTTTTTGTCTGCTGCCTCCTGTCCCTGAGTAAACTAGTTCTGTTCACGTTTGGTGTTGCAGCTAAGGTAGGTACGTCGTCTGGGTATCTGTTACCTAGTTTCTAAGGTTTTCCTACCCTCCTCCTCAGGCTGTCGATCACGTAAGACCTGCAGTTCATTTCCTGCTTCAGATCATGTTCGGGGGGAGTCTGTCTCCAGTAGATAAACTGTTGAGGCTCCTCACTCATCAGAAGTGGCTAAAGTTGATCTACATCGTGCTGCTGCCAAAAATGGTAGCAGTGCTTTTCTCCTGGCTCGCAGCCACCTTTGCAAAACTTCCTGTGCATGAGCATTGTAGCTGTGCAGCCACACAGAGGTCAGGAAAGAACTGGAAATGTGGGCACGGGCGACATCTTTGCTGTCAGTGGTGCTGCCGTTAGATCAGAGCCACTCACAGCGGTGCATTTGCAAGGTAGCTAATAAGAATGTCATCTTCAGCCTCTGCGATCTCGTGAGAAATCTCTTGGGGGCGAAGTCTTGCCCAGGGTTGAACCATTATTAAACACTGTTTATACAGTCTTCTATATTTCCTTCACGTTATGTTTAAAATGTTGATGGTTACTATATAAGACATTGTAATGACCTTATAGCATTTTTAACTTAAACAAAACAAAAAAACCCACCAAAACAAACCACCAGAAAAACTCACTCAAACCCACTAAACAAACAAACCAAAGAAAACAAAACCCACCACCCACTTTTCTGGGAAGACTTTGAATAACAGTTACTGAGGGATGTCGAACAGTTGCATGAGTAAATCCAAGAATGCAAAAAGTGAAAATCCTCATAGTAATTTGTTGTCTCTTTCCTTTGTTCATATGGTATTTTTCGGTAATTGGGTTAAATGTGGCTCAGTTATCTCTTCAGATACAGTGCACATAGCATTTGTAGATCCATTTAAAGTAAGCACAACATCATAGGGAAAACCAGTATCTTACATGCACATGATGATTATTTTAAAAAACCCAAAAGATGGATTTTCACATCGCCTGTCTGGCATGTAATTACTCCAAAGCAGCATGTGTTTGTCATCCTGTGTATTATTTGTCATCCTGTGTCATCCTATGTATCACAGTAACACACAAGAATGTGTTTTTCTTCACCAGCCCTACATGTTCAGATTTGTACCTTAATTTTAAAGGTAGAAATTAATTCCTTTAATTCATTATTAGAAATGGTTTGAAGTTGAGGCCCTGGACCTGTAAATCTATTGAAGTGCTTAAATGAATAATTTCACTGGCTAAGATGGCTCATTCATAAGGGAGACAATTAAGCTTTTCAAGTATTACTGTCAGTCTCTGTTCATGGAAATTATGTGTTTAGGCCTTTGTTATTAGGTACAAACGTTTGCAATGAGTTGCTTTGGAGATGTGTGTGCCATCCCGATTGCGACAGATAACGTCACTGTTGCGCCGGAGTGAAGCAGCTGCTTTTCTGCAATCCGGAACTTACCTTGTAACTGTCCCAGTTCCTGAAAAAGTTCACAGATCCATCTGTCCTCTTCTGAATAACCGCCCATCCTCCAGGGTCCAGGCTGTTCTCGCACCATAGCTGCATCGGCTCATTGCTGTTTTCAGGTTTGATCATGTAAATCCCGCTGCTGGAATGCCCAGCTTCCTTGGCTTGCTGGCAGTCTTTGAACGGACCTGGTTTGGGAAGAAATGCTGTCAGCCTTCAAGCTTGGCTGTGCAGTGCACATCGTGCAAGAATAATGCTAATGCAAAGTCGGTCATTCAATTAAGGTGAAACTGCCATGGAAAACAGGGTAAAAGGTTACCGTCTTAGATTAATTGTGTATATATAAATAAACATGTCTGTGTCCCATATATATTTTTCAAACCAAATCTTTGTTTTGCTCAAGAGATAGTAGACTTTGGCTACCGACACACAGTTTTTAACATAGTCTACTGTGGCAAAGCCTTATACTCTGAGTCTTGATCTTCCAGAAGTGCCTTATGATTTTCACTAACTTTTTTCTCCTGTACAACTTTTACAATCAATTTGCTTCATTGTCTTAGTGCTGTCAGAAATACTTACTGCTGAATCTACCATCTACAGGCATGGAATTTAGTGAAAGCTTATTCTTACACTACATAACTTTCTGCCTTTATGTGCTTACCCAGTTCTGGGATCTGCCTGTTAACTGTGGCTAGGAATGTTTTTAAGTTTCATGTGTCTTCCTAGTGCAATAGGTGTAGATGGATACTGATTGAGAAAACATGCAAGCAATGGAGAAGGACTTTTGAGCAGCTGAAAGGCTCATGTAGTTTTTTTCACTGCTGTGAATCTACAAAAATGCTGTTGCTGTTGACAGTGCCACTTGAAAGCTCCGCTTTAGACCGGGTGAATAGTGGCTCTACAAATACTAATTAGAGAAGAGCATCTGGTTTTTCTGTAAAAGTATGCAGCTTACACATCTCTGAAAAATTGGCCTAGTTTGCCTTAATATTTTGTTAATATTTTTATTTTCTACTTTTTAGAAAAGGATTTATGTTCATGTATCATTACTTCAGGTGATTTAAAGAGAGACTGGTTATTCACTAATGAAAAGCAGGATGTGTTCTGATGGTTAGTGGTGGATGCCCTAAATGTATTGGAAAACTCGTAATCAGTAAATCTGAAAATAAATTCCCTACAGCTTTCCTCTGATTTTAGAATGCTCATTTTCTTCAGATCTGTGTGGAAGTTCAGTTGAAACTCATCCATCCCAGAAAAAGCTCATGTGCCAAGAAGTGTAGAAGACAGGTTTTTGGGTTTATTCCTTAATCAAAAGTAGAGGTCAAGTGAACATGACCTTCGTTGCAGGTTAAGGTTGCATGACAAAAGCCTATTCCAAAGCTCTTTTTTCAGATGTTGAAGCAGTAGTTGCCAGTTGGCTAATTGTGTATTTAGCAAGAGATCAGTAACACACAAATCTTTTACACTCTAATAAGAAACATATCTAATGAAGGTGACTGCTGGGAGCTTCTGGCTGTGACAGTGCTACCAAGAGCTGCAGGCATTGAGTACTGCTGCTTGCTGTACTGCCAGCATTTGGCAATGGATTTGTCATTCTTGCGGTGCATGCAGTCGTGGCTTAGGAAAGAAACACTGCAGCTCTAGCATGAGAGTGCTCTTTCTCTTGCTCACAATTAAAATTTCCACCTAGATTGGGTGCGTTGCAAAGTTCATCCAGTGGACAGATCCTTTTCTGGGCTAGGTTGGGTCTCATTCCCTTTAACTCTCTAAAGTAAATTTGGGCATTGTATAACTGAACAGGGAGGTTGTTCTGGAAGTGTTACTGTAAATTATTGCATTAGAAGAAGTGTAAGGAGACAAGTAATAGTTTTTGTAATGTTAATTGAATATCAAGAATAGCTCAGTTAGATCTGCTCTGTGTTATTTCATGTGATTTCTACTGCAGGAGGAATTGAGGACTCATTTTTCCATGAGAGACCCAAGCAGATGTTTGGAGTGATTCTAAGTACCTTTTAAAGCAGACAGAATTGTACCAGTGTGTTTATGTATTACACTTCGGTCGCTTGTGAAATTCAGCTGGCCGTAAGGTCACAGGATGCAACGTGTTTGCTTTTTGAATCTCAGATTTGTCTGTGCTTATCATGTTAATGTTGCAGTAGAGTAACCGACTCCTGCTCTTAGTGTAAGGAAATCCCCTAGCCTTGAGTCTTTTTTTGAGAAGGAATCATTTTCTGTTGTTTATTAGGTTAGTAGAGAAGGAAAGTGATGAAGTATTGTAAGTTGGAAGCTTAATAAAATGATGGCTGAATCTTGTTTTAATATGTCAAATGTCATCGTGACTGCATGATATAGAAGCTGTGCTTGTGTAAGTTTCATATAGAGTTTTTTTGGAGGCAATAGTAGAGGGAAATAAAAAAAACCCCACTTGATTAAAAGTCATGTATTTTAAAAAAAAAGTTAGTGTTAACTGAGGTATTAGCAGCAGAGTGAGGGGTTGTGTTTAAACTTTCAAGTACTCTTTTTCCTTGAAGCTACTTTTTGCAACATAATGCTGTAAAATCTGGGGACAGTGTTTATTATTCCAAGGATTAAGGTAATTGTAATTAATAGTAACATTTTTCTTCCTCAGTTTTTAGAGCACATTTACGCAAATTAACCAAAATATTCTTGAGAAAATTTAACCATCTTGTCCCCATATATTTTATATTTTTCTTTCTACCCTCAATATTAAGGTGCACACTGATCTTTCTGTAAACTTCTGCTGGGTGCAGTTATTAGGTAAAACTTCATCAGATACAGTGGGAGAAAGCTCCTACTTACTTGCCCAGTTGTTTATTCTGCCATAACGAAGTCTTTGACGGGCCTATTTGTAAATGGAACTGTTTGGGTCTATTGTCTGTTTTGACATCTTGATGCGTTATAAACAGTCATCATCTTATAACTGGAAAGTTCATTTTTCTGTGACATAGTTTTGGTTCTGTACACGGTTAAATATGCTTCCCTTAATTTAAAAAGCAGAGATAATAACTGGGTGTTGTGTTGCAATTTACAAGTTTTGGTTTTGACTCGTGCTCTACCAGCTGTAGCAATTCTCAACCCCTGTTTTTCCAAGGCACTGCATGAAACTCTCAAACTTCAGACTCAAGTAGTATTAAATAAAGGAAGCTGAATAATCTTACAGTAAATTTTCCATTATTTCTTTGTGTTCCCTGGCAAAAATAGATTTCAACTCTGAACATGCAGGAGTAAAAGGGTTAGTGAAAACCATGGTAGTTTAGAGGAAAATATTTAGTGCTATTCCTTCGCTTAGTATATACAATGGGCATATATTGAGAGAGAAAGATGCATTTATAAAAAACCTTTGAAGCATGGGTTTTTTGGGAAGGAGGAAGCTGCCAGTTTTAGAATTATATCTTTGCTGTCTGACCAGACATGAATGTAATGCTGTTATATTAGCTGTTTCCTTTGTGTCATGATGTGCGATTTAAATTCTCATGACATCTGGCGTTTTACTTGGGCTTGTGCCTGAAATTTCTGCAGACACTGAATAAAAATAGTTGTTCTTAACATGAGCAGCTAGTTGTTTGTAATACTGTAGAACAGTCACAAATAAATGGTTGTCTTAATTTTAGGAACCAAGCTGAACTTCCAATTATGACTAAAGGGAATTTGAAAGCAAAGAAAAAAATCCGTACCCCCCCCACCAACTGCTCACACACAAAAAGACCCATAACCAAACCCTTCTGCTGTGCAAGCTAGCAGGAACCACGAGCGGGGACTTGAACGGATGTCTGACTAACTTTTTTCCTGAAGCCTTAATACTTTTTTATGGCAATTCTGTCAAAATTGTAATCATGTGAGCGTCAGCAGCTCAGAGGTAGTTAAATTCATTTATCACTAGAGACAAAACTAGTGACAAGAAAATTATTTAATGACCTGAAGGATGTAACACACGAAGATGTGGTACAGTCTTCTGAATGGATTTTCATCATATTTATGGTATTACTTTAACTTCCCATCCCTTACTGACATCAAATTACTGACAGTGTGGTGACTAATTTTCAAAGCTGAGTGCATCTAATGGTATCCAGCCTTGTTTCAATTATCCTTTCCAGCTTCTCTTACTCTCTTGAATATTTCAGCCAAACACTTATTGTATGGCTGTGTTGGTGGATGTAGATGTTCATTTTAATGCATCTCAGAAGGAGTAAAATTCTTCTAGCAGCATTAACTTCTGGCAAAAGTGTATGTGTAATTATAAAGGGCAACTACTTAAAGTTACTTCATTTATGTAAGTTGAACTAGCTTCTCTTATTGACCATTGCTGGTTACTGTAATGTGTAGCTAATAGGCGTCTTCAGAGAAACAGGACTAAATACTAGAAAGTATATGCTAATACTGATTTTTAATTCCCATAACTTAAACCCAGGTGAAGCAGAAACCCCAATACTTTGTAACTCAAAGGTGTAAATTCTTCAGATTGAATTTCTGAATATCAACTATTTCAACTAATTCATCTTCGCAGCTATAGCTTGAGATGTAGGTTTTTTGGCAACCCAAAGCTTTCCTGGGAGAGGGAAAAAAATCAGAGACAGGAGCAAGGTCTAGCTGCACCAGATACTTTAAATGCTTAATTCTGTTGCTGTAGCCAGGGCAGTTTCCCTCTGAAATAGAGAAATCTCAGGTTAGGTAAATAGTGATAGGTAACTCACCCTCGTTAATTAAAGCCAGTGGTGGTACTCTGAAAGGACTCTTTGTAGGAGAAGTAGCTGGGTCGGGCGGTGGCCTGACTTCCCTGTCTCTGGGGTAGCCGGGGTCTCGCTGTATCTCGTTACCTCCCAGGAGAACGGGAGTGTATGGCTGGCTGTTAGGGATGTGCTGCGGCACAACTTGAACAAGAGGTGGAGACCCGTGGGTGTCCTGTCGGGAGAAGATTCTCAAGCACTGCTCTTCCAGCAGCGAGATAGTCACAGACTGATTATTTACAAGGTCAGTTAGTGCTGCGTATTTTACTTCAAGCTCCTTGTATTTTGTTGCCATCTTCAGCATTTCTGTTGTAACATTAAGGACTTTGTTTTCCAGTTGGGAAAGCTCAAGTGAGTTGTCACGCTTTCGAATTATCTCATGCAGGAGCTGCATGTAGAGTTGGGTGACCCGAGAGTTCATATTACGACTTTCTTTCCTCAGTAATTTCACTTCATTCACAATGTTTCCATCCACATCCACTACCAATTGCAAAATGTCAATCTCCCGCTTTTGCTTGGACAGGACATCCTTCAAGTTCTCGATGTCCATTCTTGTGACTTCATCTTTTCGGTTACCAGTACCTGGTCCGTTAGTATTCACGCAAATTGGCCCTGTGATTTTTTGTTCTGGGACCAAGAACGTGTAACCACATTTCTTCCCTTCCTCTCCATCCGCTGAACGAGTGTGCCTCCGTTGGGATGTTTTGTTAGGCGTAGATTGTTCTGTACAGCGCCCAATAGATAATAGCAGGAACAGTAGTACACCCAAAGTCCATTTAAATATCTTCATTTTCAAGTAAGTATGATGACTGTCAGAAGACACTGTTGAAGAGATGGAAGATAAAATAATTAGTCACAACTTGGGTTTATGTACTGCTTAAACTACTAAAATGATGGGTTTGCCATGCTTACGTGTACATAGACAGTTCTTTGGATCTGTTCCTTGAGGTTAGGTTCCAGTAGATTAGCTTCCAAGAATAGCTTTCTATTTTCAGCAGCAAACCCTAAAATTTAGGTATTGGATTTAGTAGAAAAGTTGCTGCAATGGGTCAACTTTCAGAAAGAATGTTCTGCTTAGGTGATGTATTATGCTTTCATTATCAATTTGACTGCCTAGATCTGTACTCACTGCAATTACATGCAGAAGGTCATAGACCATACGGAATGCTTGTGGAGTATCTTCGTGGAAGGGAAGTAGAGAAATGGACTGGTGGCTGACAGTATTTTCGAAAATATTTAGGTGAACGTTGTAATTTGTGTTACAGAAGCCTTTCTGGTCCTCTTCTAGCTTTATAGACACTCCGCAAGCATTCCGTATGATCTTCATGGAAGGGAAGTAGAGAAACGGACTGATGTCTGACAGTATTTTCAAAAATATTTAGGTGAACGTTGTAATTTGTATTACAGAAGCCTTTCTGGTCCTCTTCTAGCTTTATATATGTACATTTAGATATGTTATTTCTTAAATATTATATACATAGCTATTGATATATACACATACATTTTCCAAATTTATATATGCACAGCTGTAGTAGACTTCAGTGACAGACAAACACTATTTTTGGACACTAGTGTTAGGCAGGAGATTAGCCTAACAACGTCTTGTGCTTTGAAAACTTACATTTACAGGAGATTAGCGTAACAACGATGTCTTGTGCTTTGAAAACTTACATTTTCAAGTACTTCGGATGTGTGCAGAAAGCCTCTAACGCTGTTTGCTCCGCATTTGTGTCCCTCCTTAGGCGCCTCTTGAGAGGAACATTTAAAATGGTTGTCACACTATTTTTGTACCTTGGAGAACGTTTTGATCCAAGTAATGCTGAAGTATGAAGGGTGTTCTCCATATAAATACCCTACTGAAGTGCTTCCTTCACCTTTTAAAGAAAACTGCGTTTCTTTCAGCTGTGTGTAAAGAATTAAAATGAGGTGATAAAGATCCAAGAATGTTTTAATGTTTTTAGAGAACTGGGTGTTTTCAACTTTATTTTTTAAATATCTGAGATGATAAACAAAGATAGCATTTAAGTTGGGTAGGAAAATAAAGCTTTTTTCATGTTTTATTTGCTTTGTCAGGCACATCACTCTTCCTTATCTCAGCTGCTGATCAGGCTTTCCTTTCCAGACTACTCTTAGTGGTTGTCCAAGGCCTTGTACAGTGGCCTTTGTGTATGTACGAAGAGAAATGAAGTAAAACCGGAGAAAGTTAATAATTTCCATGCTGCCCCTGCCAAGTTCAAGTGTATTTGGCAGTCCTGAAACAGTCAGCTCGAAGGAGAAGCAGACCAGTGCTGCTCCCTTTACGTTCTCATTTACAAATGATAAGGTGACTTTGGCGCCAGGTAATTCTCCCAGTTCTATTATTGAATGTTATTCCTGCAAATATTCTGCTCAACCTCAGAGTAAATGTGTGAAGTCTTTACTCTTTGGCATCGCTAACAGCAGTGGTTACTAACTTCACACCATGCTGTACATGCAGGCAGGAATTACATCGAGCAATCTTGATCAAATGTTCCACAGTAGCCTAAAAACCAACCTTTTGTTTGGCTGACAGTTGTCTGGGAAGAAAAGACTTGCTTTTAACAAAGACTGAAATGCATTTCTTACCCTATGTAAATGGAGGGAAGACATGAAAGTTTGAGTATGTTTATATTTAAAAACTTACTTCTGTATGTTTCACTGTTAGTCTGGATCATAAGTATTTTGGTGTCTACTAGTAAATGTTATTTCAAATCATAGGTCGCTTAAAATTTCTGTTAATATCTCCCTGCTGAAAGTGTAACTGTTTTTAAAAAAAGTAGGAATAAGTATCACTTTTCTCCAGAGCTAATAGTGTGTTTTTCTTTGGTAATTTCAGACATTTAAAATATTAATCACTTGAACAGTGCTCACGTTTGAAGTTCATGAGGTTAAATTTTCACATGAATTATGGTAAACACATGGGGAACAGGTTTGTGTGTGGTTTCTAACTTGACAAGGATGAGCTGAAGTAATTGTCTGAAGTTTGAAACCTCTTCACATCTCCTCTATGTTATTTTTAAGTACTTTATATTCTGTGTTTGTAGGGACTTTATGTCATTTGGTTAAGGATGAAGCTGTAGCACAAATCCAGTATTTTACTATTTTCACAGTATGTAATAGCTACTTCATAGTCCAGAAAGGTGAATAACACTTAAGTTCTTGGTACTTTTTACAGACCCCATACATTTGCTTAAATCATGAATGGCTGGGGATTTTCCCCCTTAAAATACATTAGAACTTAAAAGAATCTTTCAAAACCAGCCGTTTTGCAATGCAGCCCGTTTTCTGACCCTGTGTCTGGCTGCAGTCTGGTGTCCGCATTTCTTCTAATACTCTGTTCGTTTTGAGCATCAGTGCTTGGGTGTTAAAGCTCCATGTCCATATACGTGCTGCCAGACCATAAAATGAACTAAATGGTCTCACCTCACCTAACCGAACACAACAGCTGCATAAAATTATGCCCTAAACCCTTGAAATAATTCAAATGTCTTGTCCTAAATGGAGACATTCAGGTAAGCATGGATCAGTTCCTTCCAAGAACCTATCTGGTAGGGAAGATGTATGCTTCCCTGGAAATGCTGATGTTGGAAAAATGAAATGTCTTGCCATGCTGCTTGGTGTGTTTAAGCAGCTTAATGCCGAACTTGTAATAAAAGAATAGGTTCTGAGTAAGATATTTACTTGGAGTTTTAATCAACTTAGAAGGAAGTTAAAATTATGCCAATTATTGACAGTTATTGTATGACAGTTACTAATGACAGTAGAATCTTTGTCAACTGTTGTGTGTTTTAAAACAGAATAGACTGTCACTTCACTTGGTTCCGCCTTGTTTCTGTGTCAGCCCGTTTTGGGTCTCCGATTTCTGTGGAAGTGGTGTTACGTATGGTCTGGCACGCTGATGTTTTATTGCTGCTGCAGGAGAAAATGTGCAACTGTTCGTAGCAACACAAACTCCATCATCTTGGCAGGAGTATCAGAGCTGGGGGTGGGGCTTCAGTACTGTTTTACATTTAATGCCATTCCATTTATTCTGGTTTCTTTCTTTTTCTGGCCTGATCTCTATGCAAAAAAAACTTATTTCCAAAATTACTCTTGGAGTTACTGCTTTTTAAAGTGTTTAAAGGAACAAAATTCCAATTTTGAGAGTAAAATAAACCAGCAACTAGTGTTTTTAACTGTGAAAAGACTATAACATGGGCTGCATTACCCCCAAAATACTCTATTGCTTACTCTATGCGATGAGGCATTGCACAGATTAGTATATAGTTGGGATGTTGTAACTTCCCGCAGAGCAAACTGTTTGTTCTTTGTTGTGCTGCTGTGACTGACGTTCACCAAGATGTAGCATGTGGACACCCACATCACAAATTATCAGCTGTTCTTGCAGAGCTGAGGAAGCCTGGGCAGTGTAGGTTGTTATGGCTGAAGGTAGGTGTGGCAGGTAAATGTGAATGTAGGATTCCTTTTGTAGGG